AGACTGCGGCGCGGGGCCGGGCGGGCCGGGGCTGGGCCGGGTTGGGACTGGGCCGGGCGGCGCCTGGCCGGGGAGGGAGGGGCGCGCGGGGGGCGGGGGAGCTCCCCCCTCCCCGAGTCCGGGCTCGGCGTGGGGGCCGGGGCGCGCTGATTGGAGCGCGCACTGCTGAATAATTCATGAGGGAAGCAGAGCGGGACGCCGAGCGGAGCAGGTCGGGAAGTTGGGAGAAAGTTTGGAGAAGGGGGAGGGGCGGCGGGCGCGGAGCCCGGGGACCGCCCAGACGTGCGCGGTGGCCGTACGCCCTGACGCGGACCGCGCGTGTCGAGGCCGGGGCCCGGGGACCCCCGGGGCAGGTCCGAACCCAGCACACGGCAGGCAGCGGAGAAACACACCCAGCAGCAGCACGGAGGGCCGTCCGGACGTGCGTGGAAAAGTGCACTACTCACTCGAAGCCCGCTCCAACCTTCTTGCGGACTTTGGATTCTACTCCTGGATGCGCCCACTACTCCATAGTTGGCGCAGGGGACCATGTTTGGGGGAAGTTTCTGAGGATGGAGGGTGGCGCATTGGGCTCCCGAGACAGCGATCGCTGCTTAGATGACCCTGGAGCGAACGTTCACACAATCACTCAACAAACGTTAGGTATGGGGACCTGCTGTGCGCGCAACCTAGCGAAGTGGGGCAACTGGGTTGAGATGGGGAGGAGTATAGAAAAAAAGGAAGCAGGAGTAAATAAAAGGTAGGTGGGACCGAGAGTAAAGAGTCTGGATGGATTCCCAAATCACCATCTTCACTCTCACTGTCGCGTTGGGGAGAGCTCGTTGCCGCCCGCAGCCCTGACCCCTGGGGCTGGGCCGGGGCTGCTGCTGTCTTTCCAGAGGCTGTTTCCTGTCTGGCTCCTGGGGGCCCTTGGGATGGCTGGGAGGGCCCTTCCTCTCTTTGCCGCCTCCCCACCCCCATCCCATCAGTTAGAGGGGAGGGTCCAGGAAAACAGTGCTCCTCCCACCAACCCCCTTATAAGTCAGGTCACCTATGGAGGGGGGGTGGGGGCGCTGCAGGAGTCCGCCAGTGAAGAGCTGGAAGGAAAGGGTTTAACTCAGAAATTTAAGGGAGACAGAGTCTGGAGTTGCTGAGGAGCCGAGAGAGTGAAGGAACACTCCTTCCTGCCCAGGACGTTGGGGAGGGAGGTGGATGGAGGGGGGGTGAGGAGACTGCCAAGCGCTTCTAACCCCCCAAGAGGACAGCTAGGCCTGCAGTGACCTCTTGTCCCAGCGCACTTATCTTCCGGCCACAAGTGTGCTCCCCACACCCCTGCCCTTCCTCATGGCCCTGCCTGGGTCCTGCTCCGGGGTGGGGGGTCACGGAGGGCAGGAAACAGCCGGCTTGGCTGGAGCCAGGCAGACCAGGCCAGGGCCAGGAATCCCCTCCTCCCTCCTTGATCCAAGCCATATCTCCCTTCTCTCACTCAGCTTCTCCTCCAGGTTAAACACCCACCTCCTCCCTCACTCGGAACACACACACCTTTCCCTGCTTCTCACTACACACTCAAATTCTTTCCTCCAAAAGTTATGTCTCTATCTCTTCCTGGGCTCTGTGCTCAACCTCCTTGTGCCCTTGATTGCTTGAATTGTCTCATTTGGTTGGGACCCCTGATGGGGTGGGGGGTGGATGGCCTGAATGGTAAAGAGAGACCCACACAGATGCACAGAGAAATGAGGCAGGGGGGAGGGAGGGCTGATGAGACAGAGGGGTGCAGCTCACTGCAGATTCGAACCCTGTATTTCTGACCCCTGAGAACCAGGCCCCCTCAGCTATAGGGAAGAGAACTCAGATAAGAAAATACCCAGTTGAGGGGTGCCTAGGTAGCTCAGTCCGTCAAGTGTCCAACTTCGGCTCAGGTTATGATCTCATGTTCATGAGTTCAAGCCCCAAATCGGGCTCTGCGCTGACAGCTCAGAGCCTGGAGCCTGCTTTGGATTCTGTCTCCCTCTCTCTCTTCCCCTCCCCTGTTCACATTCTGTCTCTATGTCTCAAGTATAAATAAATATTAGAGAAAAAGAAAACACCCAGTCGATCACTTATCATAGGGTCCTCAGTCCCCACCCCTCCCATCATGTAAGCCAGTTCCCAATATCTAATGTATACCAGTAAAAGAATGAATAATGGGGCACCTTGCCGGCTCAGTCAGAAGAACCTGCAATTGTTGACCTCGGGGTCGTGAGTTCAAGCCCCACATTGAGTGTAGAGATTATT